TGTTCAAATCTTTTGTACTTTGTACTTTGCTAACCAAGTCACATTCTGTTTCTTAATTTGTCTGAAACTTACATCTTGCAGGTGAACACACCTAGAGTATGTACTCGGCTTATTTGGGCTATCTCAGAGCATATTGATCTAGAAGGTTTGGATCCCCTTTTGGCTGATGATCCAGAAGATCCCCTGAATATAATTATATCAAATATACACAAAGTTCTCTTCAACATAGATTCGTCTGCCAGCACAACAAATCGCCTTCAGGATGTTCAAGCAGTTCTTCTGTGTGCTCAGAGGTTGGGTTCACGTAATGCCCGGGCAGGGCAATTGCTAATAAAAGAACTTGAAGAGTTTAGGAGCAATGCATTAGCTGATTCAGTGAATAAACATCAGTGTCGGTTAATACTGCAGCGGATCAAATATGTCTCCAACCACTCGGAAAGCAAGTGAGTAGAACAGTCATTCTTTCCTCTTAAATGGTAATGTAGCTCACATGATGCCCAGAACTGATTACCCTGTAAAATGCCTGAGATGAACGGAAAACTCTTCATTGAAAGTTGAAACTCAAACTCTTCAAAAACCATTTGGCCTCTAGATTGCTGTTCAGAATCTCTCGTCCGTTTTGGTGATATAATGTGAGAGTTAACCTGAAAGGATTATTGTAGTTTCTTTATTAACTTCCGCAGATGGTATCCTCCCTGCTCCTCCAGGGGGAAGGTTTTGTGTTTAAATTAGTTTGATCTGTGTAAGCAAATGAGGGGGTTTAGTTGGTTGTAGGATATAATTTATTTGAAAAACTTTATTAGCAAAGCTGTGAAATATTGTTGGATGATACGTCTGTTTTTTTCTCTTCTCCAAGGTGGGCTGCGGTTGGTGAAGCAAGAGGAGATTATCCATTTAGCCATCACAAGTTAACTGTTCAGTTTTATGAAGCAGCTGCTGCTCAGGACCGAAAGCTGGAAGGATTGGTTCACAAGGCTATTTTAGAGCTTTGGAGGCCTGATCCTAGTGAGCTAGCACTATTGCTGGCTAAACGAGTCGACTCAACTTTACTCAAGGTTCCTCCAAGTGCATATAATTTGACTGGCAGCAGTGATCCTTGCTATGTTGAAGCATATCATTTAACTGATCCAAGTGATGGAAGGATTACTCTGCACTTAAAGGTCAAGATCTCTACTTCTCTTTATTGTTATAGTTGATCTTCGTTTCTTTTATGCTTTGCATCTTTGTAAATTGTAATCATGAAGAAAACATCTTTGTTCAAAGTCACACATTGATTAAGTGTATGGGCTATTATCTTTTTCATATGGTTTTGGACAATTCTTACTGTTTGAGCTAGCTTTTGTTATGAGTTAAGCCCAAGATCCATTTTCTTAACGTGGTATCAGAGTCGAATCCACCATGCTATTCTGCTATTCATTGTCGGGCCACTCATGTTATGTTACTCTGTGCTCTATATGTCGAGCCCTGGGTGTCCAGGAGATGTTAAAATCGCACACCAGTCAAATGTAGGGCTGTAATCTCCTCGTGCGGTTTTGAATAATTCTCACCACTTAAACTAGTTTTCGGGATTGAGTTAGGCCAAAGGTCCACTTCCTTAACTAGCTTAATGGTTTTTATACAAAATTGGCTGCAACAGTGCCAATGAGAATATGTCTCCATTTTATCCTCTTTTGCTTGTGTAATCATAGTGGTCTGTTATTAATTTTTACCAGTGGCAGCAATCCTATTAAAAATACTCTTGATTTTCTTTTCTAAAGAGTGCAAGCCTGTGTTTGGACGAAAAACGGTTGCAAGATTTTTCCCAAACAACTTTTTTAGTGTTCTGTAAAATTTTTTGAGTCTTATGGCACACAATCTGAAAAACTAGCATATTCCTTTAGTTTTAATCTTGTTACTGGTACCATTTCTGAAACACGTAGAAGCTTTTTAGGACATATAAAAACTTGTCAACTTTTCTCTATTTAAACTTCTGCAAATGGTTGTTAATGTGTTCATGCGAACTAAAACTCTTATGTACATAAGCCCCCATGCAGAAATAGTGGATTTCTATGTGTTGCCAAAGCGTGGTGTTAAAGTTACATTTCTTCAGCTTTTAGCATAAAATCAGTTTTGGATCTATCAAGTTGTAAAATTTGGTTAAATACAAAGTTGTTAAAGGAGTTTAAATAATGAGAGCATAGTATCATAATGGGCCATGAGCCGACCGGTTAGTTATGCGTTAATAATATATTTTGATGAAATATTGGTTGCGTTGTTTGAGTGGGACTATTGCTCAGGTGAATCACTATTTATTCGTAATTCTTGGAAAACTAAGAGGCAGCATCTACTGACATTCATAATTTTGCAGGTTCTAAATTTGACTGAGATAGAACTTAATCGGGTGGATTTACGAGTTGGACTTTCTGGTGGATTATATTTCATGGATGGATCTCCTCAAGCAGTACGCCAGCTGCGCAACCTTAATTCACAGGTTAGACCTTTTCCTGAGACCGTCATGCTTATTTATCAAGTTCAGTTTCCTCCCTCATGGATGTGTTTCTCCTGCCGACACAAAACATCTGCATTCCATTTTTGTAAAAGTAGCTTTACCTTATCCCTTTTGTCTGGCCTATTAATTCCCCACACATTCCAGCAGATTATTTTCAACTGCTATATCTTATGTGGTCCCTTTTGTGGCAATGTTATTTACTTAGTTATATCTTCACCATGCCTCATCACATGTGGACTGATCTCTTCTCCGTAGACCAAGCACGTAAAACCTTTTTTGGACAACCCAAGAGATCTACATGCTCTAGTACCAAGTGAATTGAACTGTTAAAAAAGAAATATATCTATTTAACAGTTTTATTTTAGGTTCCCACAAATGAGCATGGTATAGTGACAGTTCTTCATTGATTGAATTGACACACTGAGATATTAGTCAAGGTTTGTGAATCTCTTTGTTGTTTTTCTGAGTTTTCTAATCTCATTTCTTTCATTACCATGTTTGCCACTTTCCAAAATAGAAAAATGTAACTCTTATTTGCAGATGCTATCTAATTAGAGGCCTAAGATTGCGTCTTGCATATTTTGTGTGGTTACACATCTTTGGTTTAGCTTGATTTTTGAGAAGAAAAAGATATATTGATGGATAGATATTCATTTAATTGTTTCATGTATTCAAATTTTATTTCCCATATGGAAAATATGGTAGACACTTGTGATTGGTTGTTCCAGTGTTTCGGACCAAACATCGCCTTTTTTAAGGCTGTTCCCTATCTTCGACTGGACAAAAGAAGGGGGTAGGGAAGGGGATTTTTTGATTAACCTGAAACCTTTTATGCTCATTTCATTTGGCTCGAAAACGTTGCTCGATAATGAATAACCTTTTTGTTCACATTTTTCATTATCCTTGTAAATTGACTGTTGGACCCTAATGCTCATTGGTGGTACTCCATACATTGATAGTTTCTGTTTCATAAATTGACTGGACTTGCATGAATCCAGGAACCAGTGTTGAGCAGTGTAACTGTGGGCGTTTCTCATTTTGAGCGTTGTGACCTTTGGGTTCAAGTACTTTACTACCCCTTTTATGGTTCTGGTCCTGCCGACTATGAAGACTCTGAAGAGGATCCACAAGTTATGAGACAAAAGAAAAGCCTGAGACCTGAATTAGGAGAACCCGTCATTTTGAGATGTCAGCCATACAAAATTCCTCTGACCGAGCTTCTTTTGCCACATAAAATTTCACCAGTTGAATATTTTCGTCTATGGCCTAGTTTGCCCGCTATAGTTGAGTGTACTGGTACATATACATATGAAGGAAGCGGTTTCATGGCTACTGCTGCTCAGCAATATGGGGAGTCTCCATTCCTGAGTGGCCTGAAATCTCTGTCTTCCAAACCTTTCCACCGAGTTTGCTCACACATCATCCGGACAGTTGCTGGATTTGAGGTCAGTAACTTTGTTTTTACTATCTTCTGATTTTCTTTGGGAATATTTTACTATGTTGGATTTAGAAGCCACATTGAAGTTTTTCAGGCACTTCTAATTGGGTATTTTACATATGAAGATTGACCTTTCCTTTCTGCTTGGATTTATGTTCAAATTCAATGCATTCCATTTTCTCCTTATCTCATTTGCTGCTTGGTATTGAGCAGCTCTGTTTTGCTGCTAAAACCTGGTATGGAGGGTTTTTGGGCATGATGGTTTCTGGTGCAAGTGAAGTGAGCAGAAATGTGGATCTTGGCGGCGAGGCGACCACAATGATGTGCAAATTTGTGATCCGAGCATCAGATGAATCCATTACCAAGGAGATTGCTTCAGATTTTCAGGGTTGGTTGGATGACCTAACTGATGGTGGTGTTGAGTACATGCCTGAAGATGAAGTAAAGGTGGCTGCTGCTGAAAAGCTAAAGATTTCAATGGAACGGATAGCATTACTAAAGGCGGCAAGACCTCGCCTGAAGTCTCCAAAATCTGATGATGAAGAAGAAGAGGAGGAAGACGAAGATGATGAGAACCAAAAGAAAGAAGACATGATTAACGTTGAAAATGGTAAAACTAAGGGGCCAACTACTTTATTTAAGTGGACGGCAGAAGAGGTTGAGCATTGGGCACTTCAAGCAGCTGTAATTAAGGAGTGGCATATGCTCTGTAAAGATAGGGATGCCAAAGTAAATTGATTTTGCATACTTTCTTCGCCATTTTTGTTTTGATAATTTGATTTAGGTCGTTGGTTGAGATGAGTTCTAAGTTTGTTTTCTATAATTCTAATTTGTTTCTTTTGTCCTAGTTTTGTAATTTTTCTTTATCTTTTTGAAGCACTCTGAGGCTGTAAATTAAGTAAGGCCTGACGCCTTATACCATCTTATACCTTCATCCTTTCTCTTCTCTGTTGTGTACTTTCTATTACCATCTTTTAACTTTTGGAAACTTAATAACTATCAATCTGTGTCTGAAAAAAGAATAAACTGTTGTCTGCTTCCTTTGGTGCTAATAGTTGGCAAATATATGGTTTCCTGGAATATGTAGAGGATGAATATCTTAATTGTTTGCTTTTTTCATCGCAATCCCATCTAATCTCATGTGCACTTTGCAAATCTTATGTTGGGTAAAGTTGCAGTGCATATATTATGTTTTAGTTTTACCTGTCTTAAAACACTTATACTTTGGATTGCTTTTCCACAGTTCAACCTTTTGGTTGACACTTTCGCTAATCTGTCAACTAACTTTTATTTGCAAATAACGTACACACGGTTAGCTCTCCATCCGTTTAATTCCTTTGTACCTATTGGTGCTCCGAATCTCTTATTTATCGACTTAATTGGTTTATACTATTTGGGGGGTGGG